CCAACCTAGTAGCGATGGCCTCCAACCTACTAGCGATGGCCTCCAACAGATTAGCGATAGCCTCAACGCGTTCATAGATCTGGTAGTCTTTGACGCAAGGCTCTATGCAGCCAAGGTACTTGGGAGCGCTGGTTGGCCTTTTTCTGCTCTTCCGCCTTATCGCGATGATCCTCCTTTGGCGAAAAGGGAAATATGTCTTTTGAGACCTTGGCTCAGACTTTTTTCCTGATACCTCCGGGTGTCTCTCAGAGAAGCACAGCACGGTGGAGATGTATGCATTCTTGCACTCCGATGCTAAGCAAAAATGCTAACTTATATAGTAAGATATAGTAAGACACCGTTGATAGTGTCCAGAGAAGAATGCATTCTGCTTGCAAGACGCGCGGCAATCTGCATAATCTCCACCTCACCTGGAGATGCGCCGCCCTCGCCGCTGCCCAAACCACACAGCGCCAGTCTAGACGGCACGGCGGGACACGTGACGGTGGCCCACGGGACACGTCAAACGGCGGGCCGTGGGCATGGTACAGAGATTCCATTCAGCAGAAAAAATGTGGATTCGCCGATGTGGATCGTTTTCGCCAGATGAATTTGCCGGTGTTGATGTCCAAGAAGAAAACCAGGTCCAGCCGAACCTGCGGCCCATAGATATCCATGGATGGTGTTCTTCCACCAATGGTTCGGCACCCTCCACTGTTATGCAACCAGTCTCGACCCGTCTATGGGTCACCAATGCTTTAAAGATTTGGGATCAAATCCAAAGGTTGATGGGGTGCACAAAATCAGGTCCGGTGCGCGAGCTCCAAGATTTGGTCCATCAGCTACGCAAAAACGGTCCATCGCGGGATGGTACATCAATGCATCAATGCATATCAATGCCATCATCCTATCAGATCCTCAGCTTGTTTGAATCCTCAGCTTGTTTTGGTGGCATTGGATTTGTGGCGCGTCTTGGGGCGGCTTCTTCCATCGAGGTGGCTGCGAGCTGAAGAGGCTCTTGGCAGTGCCCAGACCCAAATCTTCCCACCCACCGGGCCGGTGCCCGGTGATGTGCGACAGGCCGGTCACCGGCGCACACGTGGACGGCGCGCGGAAAACGCGTGGTTTTGGATGGCGTTGAGAGGAAGACGGAAGAATGAGCACACTAGTTGCATTCGTAGCTTCTTGTTATGCTAGTAGCGATGGCCTCCAACCTACTTGCGATGGCCTCCACCTAATAGCGTCCAGACGGTACTCGAAGAACTACATACGGTATATATAACGGTATATACGACGTAGAATTATATAATGAAATCTTCCAAAAGCTCACATCACCGACTTAGTAGAGAGTAGAGAGTACTGGACATGTCTTTTTTCGTCCATGACGATGCTCAGGGGATGCTGGGGGATTGCTACTTCCTTGCGGCTTTGAGCGCCATTGCTGAGGCCCTAAAACTGTGACAGACCCAAGAAGCATCTAGAAGCCATAGAATCCCAGCTACCCTCAGTTGGTCTCAGCATCCTATCGTATCAAGGAAACGCCATCAAATGCCTTCTTAGATGCTAGCATGTTCATGCTGATGTCCTTTGGACACATTTAGCCCCATACGGCCCATATCACAACATGAATGACCCTTTTGCGACATCACTCTAAGCTACAGTGGAGGAAACCTAGAGGAAACCCGTGAATGTCTCCGCCACAAAGCTCCGCCCTTTTGGCTCCACAGAGCTCAGACCCGCGCGGGCGCAACCGGCGCGTCACACGCTGCGGCATCGTGGAACGCACCGTCGATGCCGACCAAGCGGAAGTCAGTGGAAGCGAACAGGAAGGTCAAGAGCACAGGCGAAGCAGGGGACTCCGTACAGGTTTGGTTGAAGGTTGAACTCTTGGGCTTTTGTTTCCAATCTTGCGCCATTAAACAAGGATGGTTTCAACATGTTTCAACTAAATGCTTTGAGGCATGCTTTGAGCATAACATCATACCGCACACACAATGGTGTCATGCAACATCATGCACCGAGAATTAGAAGGAATGTTTGTGCTTTTTTGGGGCGCCAAGAAATGCACTTCTCGAAGCAGCGGGTGCACCGCATGTGCACTGTGCAGGTGTGGAAGTCGTCGAGCCTGGCAGCACCGGCATTGATGTGAAGCCCTTGCACCACGGAAGCGTGAGCGGCTAAAGGTATGCTATATGCGATGATATGCGGGTATGTCATGGCATTCGAAAAGCCATGTCTTTTTGATGATTGAGTGGGTACAGTGAGGAAAAACAGAAGAGATGGCAATGTGCGACCTGTTGACAATTCAGGGACTTTCTTGAGCTAAATATCTTATTTTGGTGTTTGTCTCCTGATGGGCTAAGTACTCGATGCATCCTGACGATGGACCATCAGACACCCACCTCTTGACTTGGCAACAAACCGTTTGTTGCCGCCATCACCACAGCTATGTCATACAAGAAGCAAGCAGTTTGACAAAGAAATTGTTTCAACGCGCTAAATCGACTAGCTGCCTCATTTTGCTTCATTCTCACGTCGCGTACCATGAACGGTTGCATCCGATGGCTGAGGCAAGACTACGCCTCTCGCTTGCAAAAGCAAGTTTTTTTTTTCCGTCTTGGGAAGACCAAACACACCTAATGTTTTGGGGCAAGTCCTGACTGAGGAGAAGGAGATGAAAGAAGTCATCAAGAAAGGCCATTCTGATGTTTCTACATTCTACGCAATCGTCTTAGTTATATATAAGGCTATAAGGCATTGAGAGGTGTGTAAATTTGGTTGAGGACTAGCTACAGTAAACAAAGAAACACAACACACCGAACCCTCAATCCATCATCTCTAGACGCGAGCTTGGAGGTCTGTGTTGAAGGAGTTTTTGCTTCATACGCCTAAGCCTTTGTGCGTCTTCCTATTTTGAAGTGGCGGACTCCTATATCGATCTTTGCAGGCATCATTCCGGGATGTGTTAGCCTGGTCTACCACAAGGGCAAGGCACTGCCGGCTCCGTTTGCAGGAGCAGTGCTGCAGCAAGCTTCATGATTCATGCTTGTCTTGAGTTGGGCGCAAGCTGGCAAGGTTGATCCTGTGACACTTCCAAGCGGAAAGATAATTTGGGGGATGATATTGCGGCTGTGAGATACCTGGTGTATCCTTTTGCACTTTGTTTTTTCCCAGAAGAAGTGTGCTCAACTTGATAGGAACTGCTGGCACTCACGCGAATCTCTGGGGTCTCAGGCAGTCGCGCTTTTTTTCTGTGCGAGTTCACTGGCCCCTTTGATGCTTGGGCTCGACTGAATGCATAAGGTTTGAAGGCTAAAACATGCTTATTGCTGAAGGAAAAAAACTGCATCACACCAGAGACATCCAGGAAACCATATGGATCAACATAACAAAACGCTTCATTGACTGATGTCTCAACTGGACCCATGCGGATTTCTTTCGCCTCTTTTCGCCTTGGAAACACAGCAGCCGAAGAGCCTTGAGAGCCTTGAGCCGTGGAACATGGCCGAAGTCAAGAGCGTCCTTGGTCCAGGTGCCTTGGTCCGGGCGATGAGTCGCCTTCAGTGCTCGGTATACGTGCAGTTTTTGGCTCGAGTGAAACATGAGACCCAAACATGCTCGGTTAGGGCGCAAGTGGTGCTGGTAGTGCAACCAGGAGCAGATTAAACAAGGTTATATAAACATCGAATGGACTGAACATGGACCAGATTTATGCAAAATACTTTTCTATGAGGTCAGGGGGGCTGCGCACAGCACACAGCCGACTGGTCCAAGCTGTTCCGTGCTTGAGGGTGCAAGAAAACCGGCACGTACAGCTCGCCACAACAATGGCCTCCAACCTACTAGCGATGGCCTCCACCCTAGTAGATCTATAAGCCCTTGTGGTTGCAGACTCCAAACTTACACGGAGAGGCACTTGAACATGTACCGTGCAAATGGCCGACGCTCACAAGTCTTTTTTTTTTGTTGTGGTTGACCCCAGAGCTGAGCGAGTCCATTCTCACTGTTACAGGGATGTAGCCGCTTTTTTTTGAGGGGTTGAAAGAGCTCAGAAACCTTTGATTTTCTTCTTGGTGTGTAGTATTAGCCCTTTTCAGTCGAAAGTCATGAAGCTCATCCCTTCTAAAAACAAACCTATTTGGACTATTCGCACGCGTTGCGGAGGTGCTCCTTTGGTGGGTGCTCCTCACTTGGATGTGGAAGTTGAAGTGCAGCTGCCAGAGCACCGAATTCACGCTCCTTGGCGAAAACGCCGCGGCAGTTGTCGGCACTTGTTTGGATGGATGTTGGAGAAAGTCATCGGTTTGCTTGCAGACAGCGGCTGACAGAGATCATCAGAGATCCCCTTCTATATATAATCTCTTTCGCTGAGAAAAAGGGGGGGGGCCATGGGGCCTGAAAATTTGTTTGCATCACTTTTCTCACTGTCACTCACTCTATTCCTCGAGCCTGTGAGGTGGGGTGGGTTCTTCTCGTGATGTTTTTGTGTTATGAAGACCAATTGGAACCGGCAGATCATCACATCCACTCCGTGTCAGACATCAACGACGTCACCTCATCACGACCTCCCCGCGCCGAGCGATCGCGGCGCGCACGTGCCGCACGATCCCTTTCGTTTTGCGAAGACGAGGCACTGAAGACGTTGGTTGGATTCCTGGCAGGGGGTGCTTATGGATTGACTTCGGTGGCTGTGGGACAGCCTTTGGACACGGTGAAGACGCGCATGCACCGTAGTCAGAATTGGGCCAGAGAGGGGTGTGGGAGTCGGTGTGGAATGATGTAAAGATGCAATTCTCAATGCTGCAAGAGGTTTTTGTCGTAACATTTGTCCATGCAAGACATCCTTGTGATTTTTTTTTGTAGTTGCTGGTTTCACTGTTATTTGTCCTTTTGCTATATCATATGCTATATCCAAGTTCGAAAGATTTAACCTTACAAACCCCACCGAGTTGGGATAGTTCAGGATGGCCTAGCGAAGAATAACAGAATCACCATGACTCACTACTCGGCGCCGAGTCGAGATCCAACCGAGGCAGGCGCGCCCTGACTCCGTTTCGTCGAGCGCCTGGCGCGTGGCGTGGGATTTGCTGCGCAGCCAAGGGCCTCAAGGCCTGTACCGAGGCCCGGAGACCTCCCGCGGGACCTCGGCGTTTTGGCCCGGCGAGCCATCCAAAGCTCTGCTCCTCCTGCCTCAGACCCTGCACCGCTTGCAGCGTGGGGTCTGTGTTTTGAGAGACGGACAGGGAGAGATGGACATGGTGCTTTGGAAGAAGGAAAACACCGACGATGATATTCAAGCAATTCATGCTCACGAAAAGTGATCGGTGGGTGATTGGAAGAGTTGAGCAAAAGCGGTGAAGTGACACGTGAAGAGGATATTTGGGTGGTGGTGTCAGATATGTTTAAGTTCAACCTTGACTTGGGATAATTAAACCTGCCACACTCACTCATATTTCCCCTTCTTAAGGTAAAACCACCAACCTGCGATGTCATGACGTTGGGGGGCCTCCTTTGACCGTCAAATCGTTATGCTCACTCTGGACTCTGGGAGAAAAGTCTACCGCGCAGGGAGAAGATATTCTGCCACTGCAACTGTAGTTTTGATTTGTCCAGACAGCCACAGCACACATTAATAATGACGTGTAGCAGAACCCGCAGCTTGTTTTTCAATCATATTGGCTTTCACCCAACCACCCACGGCCATGCCCATTGTCAACAGCCTTTCCACCCTGCAGTGGGCACAACCCCACGGCACCAGGCGGGATTCCTGTGGTCCTCGGCGGCACCATGTTCCGCTCCGCACAGTTCGGTTTCTACGAAGCGGCGCTGGGGACCGGCACCCGTCGGGGAGGGCGCGTTCCGTCGCAGGGGGATGAAACAGATGAAACATGAAGAAAGCCGCTGCAGTCGGGGGGTTCTGGTTGTTTGGATGCAAACGAGGTTCTATATTTACACCCTTGGTTCGGTTTCTTGAGGGACGCCCTCATGCTGCAGCATGCTGTAGCATGCTGTAGCTGACAACCCTATAGTCATTGTCATTTCAAAGTAGTTGGACAACTCCTCACACTACAACGGCATGCAGTGGGGAGGGCTAGGTCTGGTAAGGTTTCACCTGTGAGTCGGCCCTCAGGGTCAGTCACACACCGAACAAAAATGCAGCTTAGGCAGCAAGGAATCGCGAGCCGCTCGCACCGACTCGAGAGGCTGAAGTGGAACGTGTTCTGAACATTTTGAAGTCCAGCAAGCAAAGTATCATGTGTTTTTTCTCAAAACTAACACCATGACGTCTTACCTTCGCATTTGGCGAACTGAAGTGCTTTTTGGAGTCTGAGGAGTGTGCGTAATTGACAGAAGCTTGCATAATTTGGTCGCCTCGGCTTTCTGCGCACCGTGCGCAGCAGGAGGTTGCGAAGAAATACGCCGACCTACAAGTTCTTTGGGCTTTT